CACATTTTTTAACTTTATAAAATGATAATAGTAACATACAAAGGAAACTATAACCCAGAAGTCTAGAAATCGATGATGTCTTTCAATGTTCTTTTATAGTGTAAGATTCACAACTTAGAATTACAGGTGTGTCATCACTTGAAATGATATGTAATCACATCTGTGCATACACCAAATTCATATACACAGGAAGGACAGAATAGATGATGATGACTTACCTTACCAAAGGATATGCCATTGGATGTCTGTAAATAACTATTTCATCTATGACAGAATATGGCTTCTTCATAAAATCATGTACACCTAGTAACTTTCCTTTTTAATTAACAACTTCTTTTAACAATATTACTGCCGATAGTATCACACTGAGTTGTTATCCTTCCAAAGATGCCAAAACACTGCCGCATGTGTTACCTTTTTCCATCCATTAAAGAATGGCCGATTTCCAGACTTCTGGGTTATAGTACTAACTAGGATTGATAGTTTAACACCCCTTTACCATAAGGTTGCTTCTTTGTAGTAGTAGGGAAACCGAGGGGTTATTAGACTTTTTAGCAGTCAAAAAACAAGTTTATAGTAAAACTGGAGCTTACTCTTGATCTCAAGTTCTCTCCAATTAGGCAATGTAGATTTCTTTAATTTTATCCCAAGTGGTCACATAAATGTTCTTTTTTATAAAAGTAATATAATCATTAATAGATTTTTCTACTATAATTGTCCTACACTGCATCATTTAAGCTAGATTTCAAAACCACAGAACTAAAATTTAAGTATCTGAGTTAATTCCATAATAAAAGAAAACAGGCCTTAATAGGACATTATATTTATCATTGGTTGAAAATGCACCCCTTTCTTCCACCAAATTGCTTTATTTTGCCTGAACTTCAAAGGTCTGTGGGATTCAAGGAAATCTTCAGTATTAAAAAAAGACATTGTTTCATAGTATATCAAACTCTAGAAGAGTATCTAACAGAACTTTTCTTCAAATGTGAAAATTTTACACATTTCAATCTCAAAGTTTGTACATCTCAATCAGATTATGTTTTTCTTTATAAAAGTATTCAAGGAATTTTATTAGCCTTAGTCCTCTTTGATTGCATTTTTTTTCCCTTTTTGGATAATATTACACAATGGCCTCACTGCAAGGGGTTATTAATAAGACATTGTTCCAGAAATGGAAACCTAGGAAAATCATAGTAGTAAGTGCTACTTGTTTAGACACTGATATTTATTTCCAGCAAATGATTTTTGGCACCTGAAAACTAGCCCAACATTTTGTATTTTTCTAACAATTTAGTGATAAAAAATATAGAAAATAAACATAAGTGATTTCTAAATCCCAGAAAAATTTGTTGGCTGGGATACAGGCTGTCCAGTTCCTAATGCACACAAGGGAGCGCTCAATAAAAGTCAACGTCTGACTGATGGTATTAATTCTAAAAGGTTGCTTCTCTTCACCTAGGCAGTTGCTTCATTTTTCACTGAAAGTTTGATTTTGTTTTCTCTATACCAGAGTGCTGAGATTAATGTACCATTACTATTTTAAATATAATATTCAGTCATTGGGGGAGGAAGGAGGTTTTCTTGAGTACCTGTCATTCACATTCCAGAACCTTGTGACTGTGAAATAATTTTTCATCTGGTAACTGATATGATTAGATAATAACCTAGTAGAATTTGGGAATATGATTCTCTTAGATGATGAAAAGACCTTGCTGCAGCAGTTGTTTCTTGCTTTGTTTTGTTTTTTCCAATCAGTGGAAACAGTCCTTAGTTTCTAAGTCATTTTTTCCCCATGCATTGTTCTTCCTAAATGTACTTCCCATATACTGCTTCAAATTAAGCCTCTGAGGAAATAGAACAGTCAAGTTGGAGGTTCTGGAGCAGTAATCAAGGATTCCCACAGTTTCCAACTACAGTTTCTGTGTACAGGCACAGAGCTAGATAGTTGTGTTAAGATCCCTAGTCTGGAGGTTTGAGAATTGAGAGATCTCCCCAGATCCAGGGAGTTAGGCTACCAAGTTACTTCCTATGAACTCTCCACACGTAAAGCAAACATACTTGCACGTATATCCTGTTTCTATCATTTTAATTAGTTACATGAAAGCTTTTAATCTTTTGTGTAATCTTAAGAGATTACATAGCTTTTTGTAGTTTGATGATAGATATGATTTTTTTGTCCTCTATAAAATGATTTCACACTTATTTGCAACAACCAGAATTCTTATCATTTCTTCATAGAAATTTTATGCAATAAATTACTCTCATTTTTAAAGAGAAAACTTATAAAAGAACCTAGGGCCTTTAAAGCTTTTGGAAACTTTACTTTCAAGAGAACAATGTTATTAGTTCAAACACACACAAATCCTTAAACATATAAACAAAACATTTTAACTTTATAAATCTTATTTTTTGCTAAGAAGTCTTTTAACATTTTTAGCCTCATCCTTACCAGAAATATAGCCCACTTACAGATCTCTTCTAAATTATCTTTGTCATCACTTTCATTTCATAATAAATGCTTTACAGGTTCTTTCAGGAGAAATGATCTTACAGATTACTTTAAGATTTTTCCTTTAAATGTGTGATGATTTAAGAGTATCATAACAAGTAATCAAGAAGTTTATGTAATAAGATAATGTAATGGGACAAGCAGGCATACAATATTTATTTTTCCAAAAGCCGCACACTCAACATCACCCACTGATCACCACTTTTAACAGTCTGGTAAATTAATCCAAACTGAAATTAACCTTTTATAAGTTCATACTGGATGTAACCAGTTGATCTAACTTACTGATGGAAAACTGTCTCCAACAATTACTGAAATTACAGATTTAGAAATGAAGCATTCCATTAGCCATCTCTGCCACTATAACAGCATGATGTTACACTTTGTTCCTTTACTCTCTCCCACCCCCTTAAGGAACAGGGGTGTTAGTATGTGCTCTTATTTCACATCCTAACCTCAGTCACTTGGGTTTGGAGGACATGGTTTCTACTAAGGTTAATGATGTATCTCAGTACATTATTTACAATTAAGGACCTAAAAAATTCTCTGTAAATTTTAATTATCAAAACATCTTTTGGGATAAAAAGTATTTCTATTCTTCAAAGATTAGAGAACTGAATACAATGATTAACTGATTTATGTCAGTCATCATATGACTGCTAAACCTGTAACAGATATGAAAATTTGATTTCTATCAAGACAGCTTAGATTTTACCTAAATGATGTATTAATATGTCAAAGTTCAAGAGCTGCCCTCCTCATTTTTTTAACTGTTTAAAAGAATGACCTTACCACTTTTTCCACCAGAAAGTAACTAAATGATGATAAATTCTCTAGTACTTTCATAGCTGCTTTCTGGATAGGAAAGGGTGCTTCCTAACTTCTGATTGTTCATGGCCCAATCCAAACTATCTAACACTCTGGCTCCAACTAAGAGCTTTAGAATAAACAAAAGAAAGAACTACAGCTATTTAACGCAGTAGGTTCTACATTTATGGAACCCATAAGCTGATTTCATGCTGAAAGTAAAAACAGTCTCAAGATGTTTAAATGAACTCTTCGATGCTGGAATCACAACAAATACAGGAAAATTAGGAATATGTTGGTAACCTCTAGTCTTTTTTTAAACTGACCTCACCCAGGGCAAGTAACCATCTCCCGATGCCATTGTTGGAGACAGAATTTCTGGCTTAAAGATCCTTTTTCTGACTCAGTCTGGCTTGCTATTCTTGGTTAATCATCCCCATTTTTCTCAACATTTCACTCCTCTGACTATAGAGGATAACACTTGTTTTCAGTAAAGACTTTTTAAGTGATTCCGTTCCTCCAGCCGTCTCCCTCTTTATCCTAGCTAAATCCCCCCAACCCCCATTCCTATCGCCTCGTTTCACTGAGATTTTGCTAAACATTAGACACAGCAAGCACATGACCTCCAGTCTCCCAGTGTCTCGGAACAAACCGATACAAAAACACTCGATTGGCTCGGTTGTAAGCTTCTCTAGGCTTGGAATGTAAGTCTTTCGCTCCTCAACTCTTCAAAGAGCTACAGAGCAAAATTTAAATTTAAAAAATTTTTAAATAAAAAAGAAACCGCTCCCCTTTTTTAACCTTTAGCCCCGCCTACCGCCCCCCCAGCCTCCACGCGAAACTCTGCAGGAAACCGGAGGGGCGGGGCAGTGACGTCACGACGCCGGTGCGTCACGGAACGGCGGCGGCTGCGGCGCTGGCGGCGG